TATATATATATATATATATATATATATATATATATATATATATATATATATATATAACCCTTCCTATTCTTTTGTGATTCTTACAAAAACCCACCGCCTGCCTCAGGTCTTTACTTTCTTTGTTAAGCATAAGTGCTCGCTCTTCTCGTATCTTCCCCTCTCTCTCTCTCTCTCTCTCTCTCTCTCTCTTCCGAATGGATTCGACGGCAGACATGGGGACGTCGAGCGGATCCCGACTCAGGCGCCTCAACGAGGCAGTGTCCAAGTCTTGGGTCGGACGGTGGTTCAAGCTGGCGGAGCGCTGTACAACCTTCACCACCGAGCTGCGTGCCGGCACTGCCACCTTCCTCACCATGGCATACATCCTCGCAGTGAACGCCTCCATCCTCGCCGACTCCGGCGCCACCTGCTCAATCGACGACTGTCTCCGCCCCTCCCCTTCCTGCCTCCTCCCGCCTGTGGATGCCGGCTACGCCGCCTGCGTCGACCGCGCCCGCCGCGACCTCATTGTCGCCACCGCCGCCTCCTCCATCGTCGGCTCCTTCATCATGGGCGCCTTGGCCAACCTACCCCTGGCGTTGGCCCCCGGTATGGGCACCAACGCCTACTTCGCCTACACCGTCGTCGGCTTCAACGGCTCCGGCAACCTCCCCTACCGCACCGCTCTCGCCGCCGTCTTTTTAGAGGGCCTCCTCTTCCTGCTTATATCTGCTCTCGGCTTCCGCGCTCGCCTCGCCAAGCTCGTGCCCCGTCCCGTCCGCATCTCCTCCTCTGCTGGTATCGGCCTATTCCTCGCCTTCATTGGCCTCCAGAGCAACCAAGGAGTGGGCCTCGTCGGCTACAGCTCCTCCACCCTCGTCACCCTCGCCGCCTGCCCCCGCGAGGCCCGCGCCTACCTCGCCCCCGTCGAGGCCTTCGACAACGGCACCGTGGCCCTCATCCCAGGAGGCACCGTCTCCGGCGACGTTCTCTGTCTGCACGGGCGCATGGAGTCCCCGACCTTCTGGCTTGGCGTCGTCGGCTTCCTCATCATAGCCTTCTGTCTCATCAAGAACGTCAAGGGCGCCATGATCTACGGCATCGTCTTCGTCACCGCCGTCTCCTGGTTTCGCCACACCTCGGTCACCGCCTTCCCGGACACCCTGGAGGGGAACGAGGCTTACCGCTATTTCAAGAAGGTGGTGGACGTACACCGAATCGAGTCCACGGCGGGGGCGCTCAGCTTCAGCGGCATCGGCACGGGCCGCTTCTGGGAGGCGCTCCTCACCTTCCTCTACGTGGACGTGCTCGACACCACGGGTACGCTCTACTCCATGGCGCGCTTCGCGGGCTACGTGGACGACAACGGGGACTTCGAGGGGCAGTACTTCGCCTTTATGTCGGACGCGGTCGCCATCGTGGTGGGCTCACTGCTGGGCACGTCGCCGGTGACGGCCTTCATCGAGTCATCGACGGGGATCAAGGAGGGGGGCCGGACCGGGATGACAGCGCTCACGGTGTCGGCCTACTTCCTGTTGGCCTTCTTCTTCACACCGCTGCTGGCTTCGATACCGGCGTGGGCGGTCGGGCCGCCGCTGGTGCTGGTCGGGGTGCTCATGATGAAGGCGGTGGTGGAAATCAAGTGGGAGGACATGACGGAGGCTATCCCAGCCTTCATGACCATGATCCTCATGCCCCTAACCTACTCCATCGCCTACGGACTCATCGGTGGCATCGGCACCTACATCGTCCTCCGCGCCTGGGACTGGTCCGTCACCGCATGGACTCGCCACGGCAGTGTCACCAAGAGCCTACCGCTCGTCAGCGATAGCGGCGTCCGCGACGGATCCGTTGTTGCAGCAGCAGCAGCAGCAGCGGGCAATGGCGGCGGGGACGGCCTTGGCGATACGAAGGAGAATGAGAATGATCACGCGGTATGACACGCTTGAAGGATTATTATCATCGAGGAATCATCGTTAACTCAAAGGGAAAGAGGAAAAGGACAGGTTACCAGTCGTAAATAGGGTAATTAATCTGGGATCTCCTTTTTCGTCTCTCTCTCTCGTTCTC